GTCCGGAAGGTTCATCATTTTGTTGTTTTGCAAAATGTCAGGATTATTCCAGATAGGTGCATGGTACTAGTGAAGACTCAGTCATTTTAAGATACTCCCACCATGCTGTCAGAGAGGTGCTGATACTAATACTTTTGAAGCTTTCATGTTTTCTTATGCTTGAGCTAATAAATGGTAAGTCTGAAAGCTCTATCGTATTGCAAAGTTTCTGTTCTATATCTAACCAGGACTCATCTAGTGGGTTATCTTGCAACCATCTTGGTATATATTGCAGCCTGTTGGCTAAGAAATAATAATAAAAGTTGGGTAAATCCAGTCCTCCTCTGTCTTTGGTCTTCTGAAGTGTTTTTAAGCTAATTCGACGAGGTTTATCCTGCCAAAGGAATTTAGTAATTGAGGAGTCCAGAGATTTAAACCAGTCAGCTGGTGGTTTGTTTGGGATCATCGAGAATAAGTAATTTATTCTGGGTAAGACCATCTTTTTAATTGTAGCAACTCTCCCCATGAGTGATATTGGTAAGGATTTCGATCTTGCAAGATCATCTTCCACTTTCGTTAAAAGTGGGATGTAGTTTAGTTTGGTTAGATCTGCTAACTTGGGAGAGATATTAATTCCCAGGTATGTGATATTCCCTGACTCCAATTGTGTATTAAGCAAATTGACAAATGAGAAATTAATTGGTAGAACTGTGGATTTTAACCAGTTTATAGAGTAATCTGAAACTCTTGAAAAAGAGTTTATCAGTTCTATTGCTTGGGAGAGAGAGGATTGAGAATTCTGGAGAAAGAGTAAAACATCATCTGCATAAAGACTGATCTTATGTTCTATTTTCTTACACTTTATCCCTTTAATATCGGTTGTTTGCCTAATTGATGCTGCTAGTGGTTCGATAAAGATAGCAAATAGTGAGGGGGAGAGTGGGCATCCCTGCCTGGTCCCCCTCTGAAGACAGAAGCTAGCTGATATTTGGTCGTTCGTCCTGACACGTGCTGTTGGTGAACTGTATAATGTTTGTAGCCAGTTTATGAAGAAGTTCCCAAAACCAAATTTATGTAAAGTTGCAAATAAGAACTTCCAGTTAACTCTTTCAAAAGCTTTTTCTGCATCTAGAGATAATATACTAGTTTCTATGTTTCTACTGTAAGAGAAATCTATCAAATTAAGTAATCTACGTGAGTTTGTGGATGACTGTCTAGCCTTAATGAAACCAGTTTGGTCAGGGTGTATTATGAAGGGGGTTACCTTCTCTAATCTTTTGGCCAGGGCTTTACAAATTATTTTGAGATACACATTAATAAGAGAAATTGGGCGATAGCTGGTTGGAAATGCTGGGTCTTTGCCTGGTTTTAACAAGAGACTAATATTGGCTGAATTCATGTTTGGCTGTAATCTGCCGCTCTTCGATTTCCCTCACCATTCTGAAAAATGTTGGAGCCAGAATGATCCAGAATTCTTTGTAGAATTCTACTGGGAACCCGTCTGGACCTGGAGCTTTCCTATTAGTCATGGATTTAAGGGCTTCCTGGAGCTCCGCTGATGTTAGTGGCGAGTCCAGGACTGTAACTTGGCTGTCTGATAATTTAGGAAGTGTTATCCTGTCAAGGAACTCATTGATCTCATTATCTGATGGGTTTATCTGTGGTGAGTACAAAGTTTGGTAAAAGTCTCTGAAGGTGTTGTTTATTCTTTCAGGGTAATTAACTATATTCCCGGTTGAGTCTTTAACAGCAGATATGGTAGTTTTCTCTTTATTTATTTTTAATTGGCTAGCTAAGAATTTACCTGATTTATTACTATGTTCGAAGTTTTCTATTCGTAGTCTTTGTGCTAAAAATTGTGTCTTTTTGTCAATAATTCCATGAAGTTCTAATTTAGCTTTACGTAATTTGCTCATTGACTCTTCTTCTGTGGATGCCTCTAAAGACTTGATGATTTCCTCTAACTCCTGAATACGTTTGTTTTCTGTTTTTTTCCTATGTGATGAGAAAGAGATTATTTTTCCTCTCATCACTGCCTTTCCTGCCTCCCAAAGAATAGGTGCTGATGTTCCAGGCAGGTCATTATGTTCTAAATATAAAGCCCACTCCTTTTTAAAAAAATCAATAAAACCTTCGTCTTTAAGCAGTGATGTATTAAACCTCCAGTTTTTGCTTGGTGGGATTGTCTTCTTATTTACCAGTGTTAAAGAAACCGGAGCATGGTCGCTGACAACTCAGTGTCTGAAATGTCAGCCAAAAATGAGCTGCTGACTAGAAAATAATCCAAACGTGAGTGAGAGTGATGGATGTGTGAAAAAAAGTATACTCTCTACGGTTAGGATGAAGAGATAGCCATGCATCACAAAGCCCATAATCACTCATGTACTGTTTAACTATGTTAGTGGATTGCCAATTGCGCTGAGTCCCAGCTGTACTGAGTCTGTCTGTTAAAGAGTTCATCCAAAAATTAAAATCACTTCCAAGTATAAGTGGACAGTCCAAGTGTTCGGAGAGTACAGAGAAAAAATTATGAAAGAATGGAGGGTCATCAATATTTGGACAGTATATGCTGACAATACATAATGTTGGTTCTGTACAGATATTTTTAACATTATAAATCTACCCTCTGGATCACAGACTGTGTCCAAGTGCCTCAGGTGTTTTAAGTTCATCTGCGGATGTGGCTGATCTATGAGTCTCTTGTAACAATATTACGTCTGCTTGCACTCTCTTTAGCTGATCAAAAATTTTCAATCTCTTCTCTCTAGAGCCAACTCCATGTACGTTCCATGAGACAAACCTTAGTGCACCCATAGATGTGTGTGTGAGCAGCTATGACGCCTTCATGTGTATGAGATAAGTAATTAAACACATATATTGATCTTATAGTAAATAATAATAACAAGGGTATTGTTATCATCATTATTATCATTTGCAACATTAAAGGAGCATGGGGCAGGATGAAGAAACGAAACTCATTAGTGACACACTCGGCGCTGTGAGTAACTGCAGCCCGGCACGAGAGCGCGCACAAACTCTTCACTAGAAAAAAAAAGTTACAGTGATGTACGGCCAGAGCGCGGCTCGAAAAAGGCACCGTGTCGAGCGATGAAGTAAGTAACATTGTTACTTTAGTCTAATATTTGTATAATTCCATGACAAAATTAGCATTTTAATTCAGCCATGACACTCGTGATGTAAAGCAAGTGCTCCTTCCTATGAAACATTCATAAGCCAGTTTTGTGACTGGTGAGCAAGACAGTAACATGATGCTACCTTATCAGCATAAGGCTTTGTGGCTGCAGGTGATTTCTGATGTTTTTAGACCAATTACAGTTATTATTTTGCACTAAGCTTACTAACAAGCTAATGTTATTGTTTATACATCATGTAAGAACATCCAATTTCAAGTCACTGACATCATTTGTGAAACCAATTTCATTACAGGACAGGCATCACAACAATGTAAATAAGAACATAAATATCAATGTTTAGTTCAAAAATGCATCAAAATAAAATCATAATATCAACAAGACCTACAGGGTAATACAGTCATTTTTCCATTACTGTCATTTTCAGGAATTCACATTGGAAGGAGTGATGGAAGACAGTTCAGATGGAGTGTGCCCGAGCCTGCCACAGACTTTGATGTGTCGTGGGAAAGTCTGAGACCAGGGGCTAAAGGAAAGGGGAGAGGAAAAGGTTGCTCCGAGGGTCGGGGAAGGACACGCTCAAGGGGTGAGGGCAGCAGGTTGAGGTCCAGAACTCCTTCAAGAGGACCAGGGCGCCGGGGTAGGCAGCGAACAGCTTTCAGAGAAGAGGGCAGAGACCGGCTTGCACAGCTGAGAGCTGCCAGTATAGCTGAGATACAGGTTGGTTGTGGCCATTTGTGTAAAAAAATAAAATAAAATAATAGATGCCAAAAACGAAAACATCACTCACTGGAGATATGAATCTAGTCATGTAAACATATGCTCTTTAATTTCTAGACAGCTTTACAACACCTGAGCCAGGAGGAGAGAGATTATATTCTCGAGAGAGTGGTGACCCGTCTTCCAGGGGTGACACTGGATATCCTGGAGTTTCGGCAAGAGACGCCAGGACACCATCTTCCTGACTGAGGGCACCCTAACCCAAAAATCCAAACCGTTTATCTACAACTACAGTAGTTCCAACACAGCACAATACCTCAAAATAACTTTAGCTGAAGACAGCATTTTCACCCAAAAATAAACAAACAGTTTGTGCAATATATTTATTTTTATTTATGTACAAAAAAGTTCTGTTATTTGCATTTGTACATAGTATTTTTTCTTAATTTCTAATAAATCTGTGTGCATGAAAGAAGTCATTCCTGTCTTTTGATGCTTCACGTAGCTGGGGCCTTTATGGAGAGAGAGCAGCAGCATTAGATCATACATAGATTACATGAGAATGCAGTTCTGGAAACTCTCCAGTTCTGAAGTTGACCTGTAAAAAAATAAAAGCTACAACTTTATAGATTATTAGGAATCACACCTTTGATTGCCTTTTCACCCACAATTGTCATCTCTATATGTAAATTGTCAGCTTTGATATTGACACTTTAGCTTTTTTGCTTATGAAAATGTTATTAATATACCTAAAGGTCAGATTGGTGACATCCTTCAACCAGCGTCTGTTGAACATGATTCGTTGAAGAGCCTCGTGTGGTGGAGATCATGGTACCATAAGCTCTTTATCACTGGTCGTTGCATCAAGTGGTCCATGGTCACATTTGCCACGGGTCCATTCATGCTTCCCTGTGACATGGTGAAGCACACCCACCCACATGTCCTAACAGAAAAAATAAGTTTTATTTGAAAACTTTACATGTGACAGAAGCGCTCACCAACAGAAACACGAGAGCTGGCACTATTATGAAAAGAAAGGTAATTATGTCAATGTGCATTGTTGTCTTGTTGTCCAAAAGATGTCACAATACTTACATTAAACATATCACGATGTTGTGCTTTCTGGCAGATGTACCAGAATTGGTTGATGATGTCATTCAGCCACACAAGTAGGATGGAAATTCCCTTTAGGATCCCAGCCTGTGAACAAGGATAAAACAACAATTCCATCTTTTAGTTCTTTTTAAAACATAGAAGGGTTTTATTTACCTGCAACATTTTGTTTGCGGCTGAAAACTTCGTCAGCCTGACAAAGTTTTCATAACAGTTCTATTCTGTTATGAAAACAATAAATAGAAGTAGAATTAATATATTGTTTTAAGACTTTGGAGTTTAAAAAAAGAGTGTAGATAAGAATAGGGCTGGGCAATATGGCCTCAAATCTATATTGCGATATAATCTGAAGCATGTGCAGTAACGATATATATTGCGATATATTTTTTCATCTGTTTATAGATGTCAAATTGACATGCTTTTAGATATCCTCATGTGGCAAATATATGCCACTTGAGGCATATAGGCCTCCTCCTCCGCCCACTCCATGCTTGCAGTCACCGCCATTCTGTTGTCCCATTGTCAGCAGGGTGCACATCTTAGTGACGTCATGTGTTATCACAATATCGCCGTATTGCGATATAGCCAAAAACTATCATTACCCAATTTTATATCATTTCTACCTTATATCGTTTATATTGCCCACCCCTAGATAAGAAGACATTGAAACTCACACACTGTTGAGTAAGTTGTTTGCTTGGTCCTCATCAATTTGGACTGCATCCGTAGCTAGATCCATGGATTTGAAACTACAAACAACACAATAATATTTGTTGTACGTAAAGATAAATACTGGAACTTACCTGAAATGGTACTGATTCTAAAGAGATAAATGTGGAGCCTAATACATCTGTCATTAATTATTTCTGCAAATAACAACAATCTGCTGTGAATTGACACTTCACAACATAAATAAATATATATAATGACTTATATTTGCTTATCTATTGTGTTTTTATCTTTTTTGCACATAGTACAGCAGTAATTTCCTGCATATATGGCAAGACTTCTCATGAACAAATTTACCTTTCTTCAAAAGGATCCAAATCTAGGTCATCAGCTAAGGCCTCAACACCAGCCATTAGAAAATCTTCCCTGTAAAGATAATGTCAGAAGTGTTTGGTGGCGCGATGTTAGTTCTGAACCAAGTGTGGATATGCAAGGTGTAATTTAATGTATGAAATATCATAGCACAAAAATGGGAATATTTGTTTTACAGAAAAGATACTAACCCCTCAGACACAGGTTCAGTTGGAGATAATCGATGCGACATTTTAGCTGCTGTTCTCTTACTGGGTGTTGAGGTTGCCTTCACATAACCTCCCTGAATTGCAGTTTCAGGAGCCTGCTTCTTCCGGTAGCTGGAAAACACATTTTTAAACAAAAATGTCAAAAAGTTGGTTGAGACTCTACACCTTCTGTTTACATAGATCAATAATGGCTAAGCTTCTTTACCTGTGGCACAACTAGTAATATGAAAATGCAGGTCAGTTATAAAAAAAATTATTTATCATTTTCACAAACATATTTTATTCTGACCTACATTCAACTGGACAAATTTAGAAAAATAAACACAAACTTCTGCACAACTTTACTTTTAGTCAAACGTGTTGTTATGGCTGACATTATTTATTCTTATGTAGCACAGCGATAGCGCTAGGGAAATATATTCTGATGGGGTTCTGTTACACAAACCCCACAAATAACATTATCTACTAAAGTAACAGTCCTGCTTAGAGGTTGGACTGTAGATAAAATATGACATAATTCTAAAGACTCATCTTTGGTTTGGAAAATGTCCGTTCTCTTCTACAAACTGAAGCGTGATCGCAGCTAACATGCTAACGCACGCTAGCTCTCTCCGGCTGAGCGGTAACGTCATATAATCAAATCAAGCTCTGTTTTTCTCGTCAGAATAAACGGAGCATCCATTTATCTCCAAACACATGCGGCGTGTCGTCCACAAAACGTAGAAGTGATCCGGTTACTCCTTAGTTGCTTTTAGCTTTTTCAAACTGATCAGGAAGCCATATGCTAAACACCGTTAGCTTAGATAAGTTTCTTGTTCATCTGCACAAAGATTTGTTAGATTACCTAAATCAGCATTATCTAAATCCATGAGTTTTATTTTATTTTCTCAAATTGTGCAGATACAGCTCTGATATGTTTACCTATACTCGTTACTGAAACCTACAGCAGAAATAAGGAGACCAACACTTACCTTGTCACTAGAAAATGAGCCATGTCCGCATCCTTTTTCAGGCCCAAATCCAGTTGAAGCAGCCTCCATTCTTCCAGAGCGTAACCAATACATATTCGGGTCCCTGACCGACTTTTATATTTTCTTTTTGACTCTCGAGATGCCGCTGATAAAACCTTCTTCTTTGTGCCACTCTTTAGTGGCTTTGAGTTGCGCTTGGTCGTTTGCTAGTTGTAGAATCCATTTCCAGGGTTCTTCCTCTTCTGTTTGGGGTTTTAACGTGGCTAGTAGTGAAAGACGCGTTACCGCCACCTAGCAAGCTTCCAAATGTTTTTCCGGGTTTGAACCTTGTTGAGAACGCGCTTGAAGCGTCAATTAACGTCATATCCGTAAAACAGCGCGGGAAATTCGGATCAGGAATGTGTTGCATTTTGCAGCACAAAGCCTGATTAACAAAATGGAATGATAAACTGGTTTCATCATTCTTTTTAGTTTAAAATGCTTCATCACCCATAAGCTTCTCAAGAATGAACATGTACTTTTTGTTTTTGGACAATTCCTGCCCCATGCTCCTTTAAATATAATAATAATAATAGTAAAAAAAGCAACAATAAAAAAATCCCCCACATCATTAATATAAAAATATTAATGCTGATAATGATAAAGTAAAAATAAATAATAAAAACACAATAATAATAATAACAATAACAAGACAAGCCCAACAGTGTTTTGATTGTGCAATGAAACGCCTTAGGCTACTTATCTGTGTGACTGCGTATGGAGTTATTTGTGTGTGTGTGTGTGTGACTGCGTATGGAGTCTGTGTGTGTGTGTGCACGTGCGTGTGTGTGTGACTGCGTATGGAGTCTGTGTGTGTGTGTGTGTGTGTGCAAGTTGTGTGCTGCAGTGTGGAAAGGGAAAAAAATTGTGTCATGCAGATGTAAAAATCCAGAAGCAGATAAAAAAAAGGGAAAGAAATGAACTATAAAGGTGAAAAAGTAAAAAAGAAGAAAGAAAAGAAAAAGTGTTGTGGGTGTGAGGTGGTGAGGGAACAGGTGGACATTTCTAAACGGATCTAGCAGCTATAAATCCTGACATGTTCAAACCCAGTGAGTGCTGTTAATAATAATAATAAAGTTGTACCTGAAGTTCGTCTAATAAAGCCAGTCTGTTCCTCGTTCTTTGTAGATCTTACCATCAACAAACAGTTTATCCATGGAGATCACAGCCCGCTTCCCATCCTGGATGAGCTTCTTGCGCAGCGGGAAGAGAACTCAGCGGCGATCCAGAATTTCTTTAGGAAACTGATTGTTAACGCTGTAATCTTTACCTTTAAGTTCTCTCCGCGCGTTTAACAAGATCTTTCTGCTTAAAGTGCTCAAATTTAGCCACAATGGGACAAGGTCTTCTGCTGTCTGTTCTCCTGGCTCCAAGGCGATGTACCCGATGAAAGGTGATGTTTTTAACCGTTTCCTCAGGTATCTTCATGTGGGTGTGGAGAAAGTTCTTGATGGTTTGTTCGCAATCCTCCGCTTCTCCTCCGTTCTGCTCTGGGAGGCCTGCGAACACCAGGTTGTCTCTCATGCTGCGTGATTGGAGATCCAGAACCGTCTCCTTTAGAGCTTTGTTGTCCTGGGAGATTCGATCTGTTCCTGCAGTTAAGGAGGAAACCGATTCCCGCAGAGACACGTTCTCAGCCGCGAGTCACTCCACCTGCTCCTGGCTAAACTCCAGAGATGTTCGGAGGTCCTGGAACTCCTTGTGAAGCACCTCACACAGGTGGAGCCGTCCCTCAAATCCCAGAAGCCGTTTTTCTATGGACTGTAGTAAATCTAAGACATCCTTATGGGGAGATGAGGCCTCGGGCGGGTCCTGGGGACGGCTCCTCTTGGTCCCAGGCGTTTCCGTCTCAGCTGCTGCTGCTTTCTTCGGTCCCATGACAAAAAACTCAAAAACCTCGTCAATCTATGTTTGCAAATTTTCCAGATTTTCTCCACTTACCTCCAGGTTGAGTGAGTTATATTTACCAGATTTATAAATTTTTTTGCGTTGTCAGTGAGTAAATTAGGCGAAAATCTGTCTTAATTGTTTGTGGAAGTTGATTAACAAGCTGCCATCTGCTTCAAGACGCCGCCGTGTGTCCGGTGATCGGGCCGTCAGCACTTGCGCATGCTCCTTATATATATAATAGCATTTTTAATAAAGCATTTTACCAACATCATGTTTAGTCATTACATATGCACAAATAAGCTGAGCAATGTACTCAAGACCTAATGAAACTCTTTTGAATAACTTTATTTTGATTATTATTAAAATAAAATGTGTCTGTGGGTTAAAATTTGAAATGACTAATTTTAGGGTCGGATAAAATTTTAAAATGGAATTTTACATCTCTATATTTTCGGTTTAGTTCAATATTTCTATATGTACAAAAATAGTATTTTAATACCTTTATAGGTTGAATATCTTACATGGTTGGCTGTGCTGCATATAGCAATCAGTCTGAGGGAGGAATCAGAATTATGGCTTACCCAAAGACGCAGAGAGAAGAAGAAAATGGTTGGCTCAAGTCAGCAGGAGCAACCTCACCATGACCAGAGACCACAATAACAAAAAGCTGTGTGTAGTGAGTTTAACGTGCACTCTCAAATGTTTTCTATCAAGGCTCTACATGTTCTGCTCTCAACTGCACAAGGCTGCAATTAAACTGTTAAATGTGGCAGGAAACAAACTAATACACCATTCTACATGCACATTTTGAGGAGGGACAGTTTACTAAGCTTAGGCAAGGCAAGGTGAGACTCAGGGCTGATGCTGTGTTTGTTCATCGCCCTGAACCAAGGAGGAGGAAGGACCCCACAGTGAGAAGTACAGCAGAACCTCTGCATGTTGATCCACTGACCAGTGACCACACATGTACTCAAGTAAACTGTGGTACAAATCTTTTGAAATATTAAGACATTTTTATTTATTTTATTTTAAAGTGATTCTTTATTCTAACAGTGCCATTATAAATTCAGAGAATGAGGAAAGCAGCAGCAGCAGTGAGGCAAATGAGATGAGGGGAAGTGAGGGGGGACATGAGATGGTATCAGGAGAGAGGGACATCCCAGGAAGCCATGAGGAGCCGGCGTCAGGGCCAGGAGGAGAAAGGAACAGGCCATGCAACCAGGGAACCCAGCTGGAAAATGTAAGGGAGGAAACAGAAAGTCAAAAAGGCATGAAAAACACAAGAGGCATTAAATGGAGTAAACAGACAATCAAAAAGGCCGTACAGCTCTGTTTTTCAGTGGGTTCAACAGGCTGCAGGTTTCTTCAGGACACGAGTATCCCTCTGCCTGATGTTAGAACCCTGCACAGACAAATGCAGCCCATTAAACTGGAACCAGGTGTGTTAGGAGAGGTGTGTGACATGCTCAGTTTGAAGGTTAAAAATCTGACAGAGATGGAAATAGAGTGTATGCTTATTGTGGATGAGATGGCAATCACTCCAGGCGTGCATCACTCTATCACAGACCCAACTGGGATTTGCCACCACTGTTGTTCCTGGTCAGCTCTCCGCTCAGCCACTATGAAAACATGAAGATGGACACACAACACAGTTTAACCTTTAATGGCTACGTAAGATTTTTGTTTTAGTAACTCTTTGACATTTATTTATTGATAATTGTGTTATTGTTAATTATTATTTCTTGTCATTCCTTAATAACAAAATTGCAAATGCTGATATTATAAAGCAAGTGGAAATGAGCAGTTTTATGGAAAATGTCTCATTTTTAAAAGTTATTGTTCGACTACTATTCTTGAAATATCGTAATTTTATTCTTATTACTTGAGTCCACAAAACAGAACAACATATCTTCTTATGTTCGTAATCCTGTTTGTCTCATGCTTCAGCAGTTTGTTGCAGTCAGTGTTATTAACTGAAAAATATTAAATAATTACTTGTCTTCACAATCACATTTTCTTTATTATTGGTCTCTCCATTTGTGCTTCCATTTCTGATGCATGTTCTTGTTGATACAGCAACCAGCAATGTATTGTACAAAAAATCACAAATAAAACTAATAATGTAAAAAGTTTATAACCTATTTCAAACTGGGGGAATATTTTTAAAACGTAGAATCAAACAAACTGAAATAAACCCTTTCTACAGCTCGTCCTCCTGCTTACAACCAACAAGCTGCACACAGTTAGCTCATTACAGGTTATCTAGCTAAAACTGGCAACATAAAATATCATCGTTGGCTTATTTTGGTACGAAGCAGTTAGCTAACGCTTCACAATGCAACAAAATGATGACATTTCATCAACTTACCGGAGAGAATCCTCCCGAAACACCGAAAATGAACTACAGTCAATGCAGCAGCGGGGGCTGTTTGGAACTATTCGAAGCTACATGAACCACGTGACTCCCGCATTCCGTGTCGTAACTCTCTACAGCTCTGACAGAACCCTGCCCTCCTCTCCCAATGATTGGACCGGAATTCGAGAAACGTGATTGGTAGCTAAGACTCGTGCTCTCATTGGTTCCACCCAAGTTCCTCCCACTGACACTAGAATCGAGACACTGTAGATTTGAGGTTTATACCTGTAGAATGAAATGTGTGTTTTGAGAATTTTGATTTCAAACTTATACCTTGATTTTTTCAATTTGGAAGTCTGCTAGTTACAAAA